TGTACCAAATTTCAGCGAAATCGGAGACGAAAAAAATTTTATGCAAAAATTTTTGAAGGCTATACCCTTTCGATTTTTCGTGAAAAATTCATGGTCTCCGATTGAGCTGAAAAACGGACAGTGGATAGTATTCGCTCTAAAACGTTCAGAAAAACAGTCCGTTTCTCGCTAACATAAATGGTTAAAAAGTAGAGGCTTGTTTTGTAATAATTAGCAAACTTAGAGAACTGCATCTGACTTTTTTCAAACGTACTTGTCTTCTACTTACTGCACGCAACGTTTCGTCCAAATCGGAGCACCTTTTTCCAACTTCTGAACGAGGAGAGATATTGAGTAACAGACACCACTCCGACATTACGTTTTACATCCTGATTCTCTGTACCAAATTTCAGCGAAATCGGAGACGAAAAAAATTTTATGCAAAAATTTTTGAAGGCTATACCCTTTCGATTTTTCGTGAAAAATTCATGGTCTCCGATTGAGCTGAAAAACGGACAGTGGATAGTATTCGCTTTAAAACGTTCAGAAAACAGTCTGTTTCTCGCTAACATAAATGGTTAAAAAGTAGAGGCTTGTTTTGTAATAATTAGCAAACTTAGAGAATTGCAACTGACTCTCTTCAAACGTACTTGTCTTCTACTTACTGCATGCAACGTTTCGTCCAAATCGGAGCACCTTTTTCCAACTATCAAACTAAGACCGATATTGAGTAACAGACACCAACTCCAACATTACCTTTTACATCCTGATTGTACCAAATATCAGTGAAAAATGTTTGAAGGCAACCCTTTGTTTTTTTTTTTTCGATTAAGTTGAAAATTGGTAGACTAGACAACATAAGATCTGAAACCATTCATGAATAGTAATATTTGTACTTGTAGCGCCATCTATGGTTTAACTTCATATAAAGGCTTCTCCTGTCACAGTAACCACTGAAAAAGAAAATTTTTTTTTTACTTTTTTCTATTATTTTTTCTTTTCTTTTTTAATTTTTTTAGTTTTTTTAATTTTTTTTCTTTTTTTTAATTTTTTTTTTCTATTTTTTTAAAAATTTTTTTTTCTTTTTTTTTAATTTTTTATTATTTTTTCTTTTTTCGTTTTTTTTCTCTTTTTCTTTTTTTTTTTTCAATAGAATTCGTCGCAAAAATTCATGTTTTCGATTTGTCCCACTTCCTAGGTTTCGTTGTGTGCATTTTTATGGGCAAAGAACCCTTTTGTGAAGAACGTTTCAGAGAACTATGTTCAAAATAGGATGGTTTTATCTTATTTAGACATAATTCCCAATTTTTTTTATATAGAATTGCCAAATCGCGCTCAAAAATATAAAATTTTCAAATTTTAAATTGTAGGTAAATGTTGAAATAAGAATTATTATTAAAATATAAATATTTAAAGACATTTGAGCATCGAACCTTGGCAATTCTGACTATATTGATTCCACTAACTTTTTCTCTATATTTTAGGTAGACAGTTTTCTAATTAAAAGGCATAATCCAAAAGAATAAATTTATTTAAAAAAAAAACGTACAAATTCAATATTAAAAAAATATATGAAGTAGCTGGGACTATCGGGCTGCTACATAATCCAAGTTACCATTTCCTAAATACCATTGCACCCATAACGTAATAAAGAATGTGATTTCTGAAACAGAAAAAGCACAGTATAAGTATAAAAATAAACAAACGTAAAAGGTCCACAGCAAAAATGAAGTTATATATATTATAAAACCAAATTTTTCAGAAGAGCAATAATAAAAAAAACCTATATACGTGTTGTCCGTCTGTTTGTCTCTGCGCCTGGCTGCGCCTAGATGCGTCTAGATGCGTCTTGCTACCTCTAGCTGCGTCTGGCTACCTCTAGCTGCGTCTATCTATGGCTGGCTGCGTCTGACTGCATCGATCTACGTCTGGCTGCGTCTAGATGCGTCTAGCTACGTCTAGATGCGTCTAGCTACGTCTAGATTCGTCTGGCTACGTCTAGATGCATCTAGCTACCTCTAGCTGCGTTTGGCTACCTCCAGCTGCGTCTGGCTGCCTCTACATGCGTCTATCTACATCTGGCTACGTCTATATGCGTCTGCCTGCGTCTAGATGCGTCTGGCTACCTCTAGCTGCGTCTGGCTGCTTCTTTTTGTGTCTAGATGCTTCTGGTTACGCCTGGCTGCCTCTAGCAGCGTCTAGACGCGTCTTTCTGCGTCTGGCTGCGTCTAACTGGAAACGGGAAGAGTTGGGTATTAAATATAGAAAATTGAAATGGTTGATTAATAAAAAAAACCTAAATACGTGTTGTCCGTCTTTTTGTATCTGCGCCTGGCTGCGTCTATCAAAGGCTGGCTGCGTCTAGATGCATCTGGCTACCTCTAGCTGCGTCTGGCTGCGTCTTTTTGTGTCTATCTACGTCTGGCTGCGTCTATCTAGGTCTGACTACGTCTGACTGCGTCTAAATGGAAACGGAAAGAGCTGGGTATTAAATATAGAAAATTAAACTGGTTGATTAATAATAAAAACCTATATACGTATTGTCCGTCTTTTTGTCTCTGCGCCTGGCTGCGTCTATCAAAGGCTGCGTCTAGATGCCTCTGGCTGCGTCTAGATGCGTCTGGCTACTCCAGCTGCTTCTGGCTGCCTTTAGACGCGTCTATATGCGTCTGGCTGCGTCTATCTATGGCTGGCTGCGTCTGACTGCGTCTACGTCTGACTGCGTCGATCTACGTCTGGCTACGTCTAGATGCACCTGGCTGCTTATAGATCCGTCTGGCTGCGTATAGATACGTCTGGCTTCGTCTAGATGCGCCTGGCTACGTTTAGATGCATCTAGCTACCTCTAGCTGCCTCTAGACGCGTCTATCTGCGTCTGGCTGCGTCTTTTTGTGTCTAGATGCGTCTGGTTACCTCTAGCTGCGTCTAGACACGTCTATCTGCGTCTAACGGGAAACGGGAAGTGCTGGGTATTAAATATAGAAAATTAAAATGGTTGATTAATAAAAAAACCTAAATACCGTCTTTTTGTCTCTGCGCCTGGCTACGTCTATCAAAGGCTGGCTGCGTCTGGTTACCTCTAGCTGCGTCTAGACGCGTCTGTCTGCGTCTAGCTGCATTTCGCTGCGTCTAGATGCGTCTGGCTATCTCTAGCTGCGTCTAGATGCACCTGGTTACCTCAAGCTGCGTCTATCTACGTCTGGCTGCGTCTGACTGCTGCATCTAACTGGAAACGGGAAGAGCTGGGTATTAAATATAGAAAATTAAACTGGTTCATTAATAAAAAAAAACCTATATACGTGTTGTCCGTCTGTTTGTCTCTGCGCCTCCCTGCGTCTAGATGCCACTGGCTGCGTCTAGATGCGTCTGGCTACCTCTAGCTGCGTCTAGACGCGTCTAAATGCTTCTGGCTGCATCTGACTACATCTAGCTGCGTCTGGCTGCCTCTAGCAGTGTCTAGACGAGTCTATCTACATCTGGCTGTGTCCATCTAAGTCTGGTTGCCTCTGACTCCGTCTATCTACGCCTGGCTGCGTCTATCTACGCCCGGCTGCGTCTATCCACGTCTGGCTGCGTCTAGCTGCGTCTGTATACCCTAGCTGCGTCTGGCTGCCTCTAGATGCGTCTGACTGTGTTTGGCTGCGTTTAGATGCCTCTAGATGCGTCTGGCTGTCTCTAGCTGCGTCTATCTATGTCTGGCTGTGTCCATCTACGTCTGGCTACGTGCGTCTAACTGGAAACGGGAAGAGCTGGGTATTAAATAGAAAATTAAACTGGTTTATTAATAAAAAAAAAACCTAAATACGTGTTGTCCGTCTGTTTGTCTCTGTACCTGGCTGCGTCTATCAAAGGCTGGCTGCGTCTAGATAACTCTGGCTGCGTCTAGATGCATCTGGCTGCGTCTATATGCGTCTGGCTACCTCTAGCTGCGTCTAGATGTATCTGGCTACGTCTAGCTACCTCCAGCTGCGTCTGGCTGCCTTTAGACACGTCTATCTGCGTCTGGCTACGTCTATCTGCGTCTGGCTACCTCTAGCTGCGTCTGGCTGCCTCAAGCTGCCTCTAGACGCGTCTTTCTGCGTCTGGCTGCGTCTAGTTACGTCTGGCTGCATCTATATACGTCTGGCTGCGTTTAGCTGCGTCTAACTGGAAACGGGAAGAGCTGGGTATTAAATATAGAAAATTAAACTGGTTGATTTATTAAAAAGAACCTATATACGTGTTGTCCGTCTGTTTGTCTCTGCGCCTGGCTGCGCCTATCCGCGCCTGGCTGCATCTAGAAGCGTCTGGCTACCTCTAGTTGCGTCTAGATGCATCTGGCTGTTTTTAGCTGCGTCTAGACGCGTCTATCTACGTCTGACTGCCTGGCTGTGTCCATCTACATCTGGCTGCGTCTATCTACGTCTGGCTGCGTCTGACTGCGCCTGGCTGCGTCTAACTGGAAACGGGAAGAGCTGGGTATTAAATATAGATAATTAAAATGGTTGATTAATAAAAAAACCAATATACGTGTTGTCCGTCTGTTTGTCTCTGAGCCTGGCTGCGTCTATCCGCGTCTGGCTGCGTCTAGATGCCTCTAGATGCGTCTGGCTACCTCTAGCTACGTCTAGACGCGTCTATCTGAGTGGCTGCATTTGGCTGCGTCTAGTTGCGTTTGGCTGCGCCTGGCTACTTCTGGCTGCGTCTGGCTGCTGCTAGCTGCGTCTAGACGCGTCTATCTACGCCTGGCTGTGTATATCTACGTCCGGCTGCGCTATCTACGTCTGGCTGCGTCTAGCTGCGTTTAACTGGAAACAGGAATAGCTGGGTATTAAATATAGAAAATTAAACTGGTTGATTAATAAAAAAACTAAATACGTGTTGTCCGTCTGTTTGTCTCTGCGCCTGGCTGCGTATATTTACGGCTGGCTGCGTTTATCTACGTCTGACTGCGTCTAGAGGCATCTGGCTGCATCTACAGGCGTTTGGCTACATCTAGCTGCGTCTGGCTACATCTAGCTGCGTCTAGACCCGTCTGTCTAATGTCTGGCTGCGTCTGGCTACCTCTATCTGCGTCTAGATGCGTCTGGCTGCCTCTACCTGCGTTTAGACGCGTCTATCTACTTCTGGCTGTGTCTATCTACGACTGGCTGCGTCTAACAGCGTCTGGTTGCGTCTATCTACGTTTGGATGCGTCTGGATGCGTTTGGCTGTGTGTGGCTGCGTCTAACTGGAAAAGTTGGGTATTAAATATAGAAAAAATTTACTGGTTGATGAATAGAAAATCAAAACTTTCAATTGAAAATAAACTTTTAATATATAAACAAGTACTGAAGCCAGTATGGATTTACGGCATATAGTTGTGGGGGTGTGCCAGTAAAAATAACATAAATATAATACAACGTTTCCAGAACAAAATATTAAGGGCAATAGTAAACGCCCCTTGGTAGGTGAATATGAATCTAAAAGTTTAATATCATTAAACAAGCGTTACCCATGACAGACAAAGACAAAACAAGAAAAACGTAAAAAATTACCATGGTTCCTGGAGTAGGTTCTGATGAGTGAACATAAAGTTAGTAGGATATGACTCATAAGATAATTAATTGAGCGGCTCAGACGGCTGGCTGCGTCTATCTATGACTGACTGTGTCTTTCTACGTCTGGCTGCGTCTAGATGCATCTGGCTGCGTCTAGATGCGTCTGGCTGCGTCTAGATGCGTCTGGCTGCGTATAGATGCGTCTGGCTACCTCTAGCTACGTCTGGCTGCGTATAGATGCGTCTGGCTACCTCTAGCTACGTCTGGCTGCGTCTAGATGCCTCTGGCTGCTTCTAGCTGCGTCTATTTACGTCTGGTTTCGTCTAGATGCCTCTGGCTGCGTCTAGATGTATCTGGCTGCGTCTAGATACATCTGGCTACCTCTATCTGCATCTGGCTGCTTCTGTCTGCGTCTGGCTGCCTCTAGTTGCGTCTAGACGCGTTTATCTACGTCTGGCTGCGTCTAAATGCGTCTGGCTACCTCTAGCTGCGTCTGGCTGCTTTTGGCTGCGTCTGACTGCCTCTAGCTGCTTCTAGACGCGTTTATCTACATCTGGCTGAGTCTGGCTGCGTCTAGATGTCTTTGGTCGCGTCTAGATGTCTCTGTTCGCGTCTAGATGCGTGTGGCTACCTCTATCTGCGTCTGGCTGCGTCAAGATGCATCTGGCTGTCTCTAGCTGCGTCTAGACGCGCTATCTACGTCTGGGTGCGTCTATCTACGTCTGGCTGCGTCTAACTGAAAACAAGAAGAGTTGGGTATTAAATATAGAAAATTAAACTGGTTTGATGAATAGAAAATCAAAACTTTCAATCGAAAATAAACTTTTTAATATATAAACAATTACTGAAGCCAGTATGGACTTACGGCATACAGCTCTGGGGGTGTGCCAGTAAAACTAACAAATATAATACAACGTTTCCAGAACAAAATATTAAGGGCAATAGTAAACGTTTCTTGGTAGGTGAATCTGAATCTAAAAGTTCTATATCATTCAACAAGCGTTACCCATGATTAGAATAAGACAAAAAAAGAAAAACTTAAAAAATTACCATGGTTCCTGGATTAGGTTCTGATGAGTGAACATAAAGTTAGGAGGACATGACTCATAAGATAGTTAATTGAGCGGCTCAGATCCTGATAACCATTGAATTGTCTGTGGAGTGATATAAAGTTCCTATTTAGGTTGACTTGAATGTTAAGACAAAAGTTGTTATTGTCTCTTTCTTCATCTTCATAAAAAGCAAATTAAAGTTTTTGGTGTTCACATTAATAATTTTGAATTTTTTAGTAGAGCTAAAATTATGTTAGTTGAAACTAAGATGATATGAAAATATGAACTTTTATTGGTGTATTTCATATCGGTACACTATTCTTACTAGAATAGATATGATATTATATTATATTCGTTCAGTAGAATGCAATATAATATAGATATGATCTTTATGGCACATAAACAAAGATTTTTAGATTTCAATAGTATTGAAATCAAGTTGCTTTTATAATTAGCTTTTTAATTGTGTTATTTTCGGAATTTTTAGTTAACTGCTTCCATACTAGAACTTAAAGAGCAACATAAAACGTGTTGACTTTGAATTAATTAAATTAAAACATTAAATTACAGACCAGTATCATTAATATCTTGTAGACAAACCTCTTAGGAATACCCTGTATATAAACCGAAGAACACACTTCATAATAATATCTATAGACCTTATTTACATAACTCTTCTATTATTAACATAATAATCATCAATTTTAAGTGATATAATAACATTTCCTTACCATACTTACTCCACTTCATCACAATCTGATAGATGCATCAAATGATATGTCTCTGAGTCAATATCTATAGAGAAAGATTAATTGTTTACCGGACTACATCATGCTGGTTTACACGAGAAACTTATTGATCATCCTCCTATGTGATTACTTAATGATACATCAGCAAAACGGAATGCTCCCTACGTCGTAATTTATCATGGAATTCTGGAATATTGAGAGAAACTAATGGAGGCGTATCTAAATTCGTACGGAATAATAATGAGAATAGAATGAGGGAGTTACAAACGTTAAAGGTTTTCTTTGCTGATTTCAAATAAGCATGTCACTTTGATCGTTCGAAGCGTTCACGTTCTTGAGTAATTTAGGTTGTAGTTTTTTATGTAGTTGACTTTTTTGTACTTAATTGTGAATACTACGTGGTTGCTTTAAATATGTGTACATATTAAAGTGACAACAGTGTTTAATATTAATAAATTTTATAATGGAAAACTTTCTCATCTTTATTCTGCGTTTTATAACAATCCAACCTCATTTCTAATGTTACAGCGGTTGGGATGATCCTAAAGTGCTTTTGCGGGTTTGTAACGAAATTTATGAGAAATATTTTTTAATTAGAGATGCCTAATTTGTTATAAAAATCCAATTTGCAGTAAAACGAACATACGAAAACGACTTATGAATATTTTAGAAAATTTTCAACGAAAATAGAACATAATACGTCTTAAAAACTGAAAATAATAAGGGTTTATTGCACTACTACTCAGTGGCGTTGCCAGAAATTTATAATGGGGGGATTTCATAGATTACAGAATATCTTTATATACAGTATGGTGAAACAATTTTGATTTCCAACAAGCTGACTGCTAGCAGCCATGTTAATTAAATTTTAGTGTGAGACTACTGATAAGGAAATGGGCGCAAAGTTAGTGCTTACCCTATTTTTAAATTTAGTTATTTACGGTTAAAATACAATAAAATACGATAAAGTTCGCCTTCCACTAATAATAACATAATATAACTATTTTAACTATTAATATTAAAAAATATCAGCCGTATATTAATAAATTAGAGCAATAAAAATATGTAAATATAATTTGAAATAATGAAAGTTCTATTTATTTAAAATTCGTAACTCTTTTATAATATCCTTGAGTAAATACTATAAATTCGCTCCCCCTGGTTTGGGACTTCGCAACTAGGTCCCAGACTATGCGGCATTGCAGCAACTCTCCGAAATTTCATATTATATAGACTGCGGATGTAAACTGTTTGTCGACGAAACGGCAGGAAAATTCCGTTTTTCCACCAATCCGAATAGTTAGGTAGAGACTCTTTTGTTTATGTTGGTCTGTTTGTTCATTAAGATTATTTATTTTAAGAGAAAAAGGGACAAATTGAAAAATATTTGAGTTTCAAATTGTCTTTAATGTTAAAATTACCATCGAAATTATTCATGTATTCATCCCAGTCTGTTTATAAAATCGTTGAAGTGAAAAAAGAAAACTTATATATATAGATATAGATACTATAAAAAGAACATTGTATTACGTCGATTGATACTACATCATGGCGACATATTGTGATGATCGAAAACAGCGCGCGAAAATAAATTTAAATCAGCTCATGGCCAATCATCCATAATCCACACCACAATACGTCACGCGCGAACTCGTATCATGTAATATATCTTCAAAGTTGACAACAATAAATACATGATTACATCATTCAACGGCAGCATCATAAAATGCGGAGAGTTAATTTATAAAATATTAATTATATAAGATCTTTTTGAGTTTCAACCAGTACAGACCAAAATAATTTTAAATTTTATTTTCTTGAAGTTATAGCGCAAGTCCTGCTTTTAAAAATATTTCATGTTATTGGATATTTTTATTTTATATATAACTAAATAGTTTCTTTTTTGTTTCAGATACCCCTTCTTTTGCGATATCCCGTGAACCGGGTTTCGGCTTTCCAATTCGAGAAGGAATGCCGGTGTCTTTAAAATGTGACGTAGATGCCAATCCCAAGGCTCTACCGGTATGGCAAAAAGATGACGGTAGTCCCCCTGTACAGCAGACGTCAGACGGCGTTCTAAATTTTACTGAAATTAGAAGAGAACATAGTGGATGGTACAAATGCATCGCTAGACATCGGCTGGGAAGATTTTCCAGCATAGGGTACTTCCTGAACGTTCGATGTAAGTAACAATATTTAAAATCAAAGAATGAGGTGAAACAACAAATCGGTACCATGTTTTTTTGGTGCCCATTACCAATGGACTGTCAAGGTCTAGAAAAATAACAATTTGTAAATGATTCACTAAACAATTTTTAAAATTACTCGTGGCGTTTAAGGTGTTAATGCAATAAAATTTCTTCTTTTATACAATTCAGATAAAATTTTATATAAAGCAATAACTTGAAAGTTTAAAAATAATGTTTACCTAACTATTCAGTCAATTTTCTATACAATTACTTTTTATTAAAGTGCTAAAATTTTTAGATACTTATCTTTTACAGTTTCGGTTTACGTTCACGTTTTTTTTTTCTTTATATCGTTTCATCTTTATTCTATCATAAATTTTATTCGCCTTGTCATATAATAAATTTTCAGTTTAATTGGATTTTCCAAGTGTCTTTCTAGGGACTTCATAAATTTAATTTGAAAAAAACAGGAAAGTCTTTTCAAGAATAAAGTTTGTTATTTGACAACGATGAGTTATGATTTGGTTTGTAATGAATTTATAGAAAGTTTTGATGTTTTTATTTATATTTTACTTTTAAACATATATATAGATACAAATTGTTACTCAACTTTAAGTGCATTTCCACGAATAACTTTTGTATTAGAAGCATGATGATAAATTTTCATCTGAAATTAGTTGCAGATTTAAAATTTAAAACATAAAACTATTTTTTATAGTTTTCTTTGTTTATTTGAGTTATTATAGTGTTATTTTAGGATTATTTATTTTAATTTTTGTTATAAAATAATATTTGACCGCGCAGATCCCAAATTATTGATTTTTAAACAG